AAAAAGTCAACTTCTTCTTTACAGTTCCAATAGCACTTCGTACACACCTTGTTATATTATTTAGTTGCAATAATGCCTCCCCCACTAGACTGCCAGCACTCCAAGAGAATCTTACTTAATTATATCTAATTAAATTGTGTCTCCTCAATGCCTATTATGCTTTGGTACAAAGCAGGTACTCAGTAAATGTTGCACATAGATGGTCCCAATCCTCTGGCTATTTAAATCCTACCCTTCCTTCAAGGCCTCCTTCTTCCTTATATAAACTCTTGTTAGACCATTCCACTCCAGAGTCATCAGTACCTCCTGTGTACTCTCTTACTGGCTCAGTCACTTATCTGGCAATTATTAATGGCACCCACCCTTATGACATATACAAACAACATTTCATGAATACTTTTTTCTCCAAGGACTAAGACTGTTTTTCTTATTCTTTTTTTTTTTTTTAGAAGATTTTACTTATTTATTTGACACAGAGAGACACAGCGAGAGAAGGAACACAAGTGGGGTGAGTGGGAGAGGGAGAAGCAGGTTTACTGCAGAGCAGGGAGCTCAATGTGGAACTCGATCCCAGGACCCTGGAATCATGACCTGAGCCAAAGGCAGATGCTTAACGACTGAGGCACCCAGGCGCCCCTCATTTTTTTTATACTTCTGTTGTCTCCCTACAGTTTTTAGCATACAGCAGGCATTTAATAAACATTTGCTATTTGATTACTTTGATGTTCCAAAATAAATATTACATAACATAGAAGGATGCCCAACTATCTTCACTTAATTTTATCTGTGTATAAATAAACATTTTTATGATAAAATGAAGTCATCTGATTGGTACTAAAATACATCTCATTTAATAAATCAAGATTCTTTTCATCAGACTTTTCCTAACAGCTCTTGCTAATTCATTCAATAACTCTGGAATCTAAAGCTTTTGCCTTACTACTGAGCAGCTATATTTCTTCCTTGGCATTTTCCTTCTAAGATGACTTGTTACCACAATGTTCTCTCTCCTTCCCTTCCTCCCTCCCTCCCTCCATCTCTTTCTGTCTGTCTTTCTCATATACACACACTCACAGACACTATTTTCTCTGTTCCTTTGCTTTCTCTAGGACACATGGTACTGAAGATTTATTTTAGAATGCTTAACAGTTTAATGGGGGTGGAAGGAAAAAGAAAAAATCATTTTCAAGAGTTATCTTTTTAGATAGGTAAATCCACAAAATACACTTAGTAAACAAAAAATTAAAATTCAAGTTACTTTAAAATATGATGAAATAGAACTAGCAAGAAACACTGAAGTAGCCATGTGACCCAAAGACCTATGTGGGTCATCTAACAATCTGTAATGAAAATAAGCAATCCTAATAAAGCTACCTACTGGAAAACACTTGAGCCAAATGACCTCAGACTTACAAGCAGGGCAGCTGGTAAGAGAACAGAAATGAATTGCGAAGCTGCCCTATTTGAAATATATCAGCTTAAAAACTTAACACACACACACACACTCTTCAGCATTTTGGTTTAATCTGAAAGTCTGATAATTTAAGAGATAAGGTTAATATAACCTAGGAAATAAAGAAAATATACTGAATGCAAAGGAAAGTCACAGTGTGCATACTAAATTGAACATACACGATATAGACAATGCTCTCTAAATGATAAATGTGGATTCTTTTACCAAGACTAACAGATTCAATGATCTCAAGAGACAACAGAGTTTTACAAATCTGGGACCACATCTATATAGAAAGTACATTTTTAAAATATCTGGAAATAAAAGGTAGGGTAGTATCTGGATAATTCAAATCAAGTAAATTGGGGAGGGAGGGGAGGGAGAGCAATATACATAAATTCAGGGTTTTATGCTTTAATTACCCATAGCAATTTTGCTGATGTGGCAGTTAAAGCACTCATGCAGATACAATTAGCCCTTTTTCTTAGTTTGTTTGCATTTTCTTATTTCCAACTTATCTTAGCAGAAGAATAGAAAAATGTATAATGGGAAATACTTAAGAGGGCATACTATCTCATCTAAACCACTGGGCTACAGCAACTTTCAAACACAAGAATTTGACCTAAGCCAGCAGCAGCTGGAGTAGGCTCAGAAATAAAACTGGTGGAGAGCCTGGGTGGTTCTGCCTTCCGCTCAGGTCATGATCCTGGGGTCCTGGGATCAAACCCAGCATCGGTTCCATTTTCAGCAGGGAGTCAGCTCATCCCCCTCCTTCTGTCCCTACCCTCCCATGCTTTCTTGCTCTCTAATAAATACAATCTGGAAAAAAAAAAAAAAGAAAGAAAGAAAGAAAAAGAAATTGCTTTCACTAGCCAGGAAACCTAATCACTCATAATCAGCAATATGGAATCACCATTAATAATTTTAATGTCAGTGAAAAGCTAATTAAATTAATACATGAATCACCTACAATATTCCAAGATTTCAAACTTCATATGAACTTTAGACACATGATATTAAACACAGAAAGGTCTACAGCCCTTTTGAAACTATCATGACCATAAAATATAGGCCTCCTGACTAAAAAGTATAAAAGTATAAAATTTAGAAACAACAAGGAAAAGGTTCAGGGAATAAAAGACTACTTGTATTCAATGCCAACAATGGTCTCCATGATATTACTTCTATGAAATGATACAGATACAAAATTAGCACATACTAAACTTACAAGATTTTAATAAGTTGAACTTAAGTTTAAGGAGCACTGTGGTCATGTATGTTCTGACAAGGGTGTTCTCTATCATCAAATATAACATGATGGTACAATTATTCAAAGAAGGTAGGCAAGAACCCTGAAGATGAAATCCAAAACCAGATTTCTGTATAAAAGGTGTATTTCCCAGTAATTTCTGAGGAAGCCAGAAGGGAGACCCCATGAGCAGTGGAAACCAGTCTGTTGCCACCATCTCTAAACATGCGATCCTTATCAGGCATTCCAGCTGCTAACAAATTCCATAAAGAAATGAAAGTTGTCTCGGTGAAGAATATAATAAGCACATGAGATGTTACACCTATGAGCTCTATTTAACTATAATTTTCTACACCAACAAGTTCCTTTCCTATTTACCTAAATCAAATGACTTTTATTCCATATCAATAATCTACAAATGTGACCATCTTGGATTCACAACTCACCCTTAAGGGAATATGCCTTGTTTGGAATCTTATTTTTATGGTGTTAAAGCAGTACAATACAGGAAAACATTATCATATATGTAACAAAAAACAAGAAGATTCACAAGCATAAGGAGAGCACAAAGTCATTGCTCGGGAATGTGACTAGTTGTCCTATCTAATAGTAAGGTGAAAAGTGCCTCCAGGAATGAAAATACAACATGGATACAGTCAGAAAATGAAGAGGCTGCCCATGTCTCTGTTCCCCAAACCCCACAGAACTTCAGGGATTTCATTGTAGGACAACCAGTCTGAACTACCAATCTTTGTTTTTTCTCCCTTCTCTTTTTATAAAGATTTCTCAGGACAAGGATTCCATAAACTCTTTATTCAGCTCATTCCAAGGCCTGATCCAACTGGATATACTACTAACTTTTAAAAATTGTCTACACAAGCCTGGATACATATCAGTGTTATTATTAAAGGAGGCTCAAATTGAAAAATTAAAATAGGGGCGCCTGGGTGGCTCAGTGTGTTAAAGCCTCTGCCTTTGGCTCAGGTCATGATCCCAGGGTCCTGGGATGGAGCTCCACATAGGGCTCTCTGCTCGGCAGGGAACCTGCTTCCCTTCCTCTCTCTCTGCCTACTTGTGATATGTCTGTCTAATAAATAAATAAAATCTTTTTTTAATTAATTAATTAATTTTAAAAAAAGAAAAGTTAAAATTAAAAAAACACAAAGGAAAAGGCTTTCTTGTTTTTAAGTATTTTAATAGAAACATATCTGGTCAAATTTCAAAAACTGGACTAACAGTGTTTAAACATTGTGTCAGTATATTTGAGAAACTGAATGAAAACAAGAAGTATCTGGCCTTCCAAAAGAAACGTAATACAACAAAGAAAACTTTATTCTAAAATGATGTCAATTTACTGACCAAGCTACACAGTAAAGAAAAACCATTTCAGATTGTTTTTCACCTCCACATCGGTGTTTGAAGTTGATGGCTCTGTGAGAGCATGGAAATCTTAAGCAACAATTTCCCCTCAGTATTCTATTTTAAATTAATCTGCTGATCTGTTGTGGGTAAACATAAATTCTGTCCCAGCTGAGAAATATTTAATTTTTTCTTCTATGGGTGTTTGTTCGCAAGGTGAGGGGTTACCCCTTTTGGCCTTTGACCAGTGTTGGCCGGTTTTCTAAGTAAATGGTTTTTTCTATCCACAAGCCGCTTTTTTTCCTTTTATGTTGCCTTATTTCCATCTATTCGGCACATAAGGCCGGGCCCCCCAAATCCTGCCTGTCTCTTCACCCTTGTCCAATCCCACATGGTTTCCCCAGTTTCCGCGTGGAGTGACACCTGAGGGCCAAGCGCGAACCCCTGCGGCTGGCACTAACTAGGCGCGAATCGGGCTGACGGCTGTCACTGGGGAGCAGGCGTGGGCCAAAGCCGAGGTGATTTCTGACTGCTCATCGCCCGACCCCGCGTGGCTGAAGGTCTCCAAGCCCCTCGGTCCGCCCAGGGAAGCCAGGCGTGCAGCTGTCGCGGGGCAGGAAGCTAATCGCGGCCTCTGGGCCGTTTTGACAGGCCCAGGAGAAAAAAGAAAAGGGCTCAATGCGGCTAGGAGACTCACCCCTAAGGCTAGGAGACCACAAGAGCGAAACCCCGGTCTCCGGCCTGAAGGCAGGAGAGACCGTGGAGCCACCGCTACCGATTCAGCCCAGCCCAGCAGGGGCCCGCCCAGGGGCCACTCCCCAAGGGAGACAGCCAGTCACTCGCCCGCCCTTCCGGGCCTGCTCCGGAGGGGACGGTCTCCCGCCCGCCCTCACACACAGCTCCTCAGGCCAGGCCCCCAGGGCTTCGTCCACCTCTCACCTTTGACGACGCGGTCAGCCCCGGGAGGGGGCGGCGGGGGCGGGGGTGGGGGCGGTGCAGCCCGGGCCGGCTCCGGGGCGGCCATGCTGGGCCCGGGGCTCGGCTAGGCGCTGGGCCGGGCGGGGTTGGGGGCGGGGGCGGCGGCTACCAGAGCCAAGCGGCGGCGCCGCCGGGGAACATGGCGGACCCTTTCCCTACAGAGGGGCTAAGACCGGCATGCACCGCGCTTTGCGGGGGCGGGGGCGGGGCAGACTCTAGGGACCTGGGCAAAATTACTGAGGCTGGGAGAGAAACAGGACGAGGCCAAGGGATCAGGTTAAAATTCTGGGCAGGCAGAAACAATAGAGAGTGAAGAGGGCGGGCTATCTATTGCTAGTAGCTGCAGTGAATAAGTGCTAGGAAACATAACACTGGCTCTCTTGGAGCTCCCGATACAATGGGGAGACTTAAACCTCAGAATCTACTAGTAGAGAAAAAAATGTATAACAGTTTGGCTACCAAATCTCGGTACTTTAGTTGGTAAAGGACAGGAAAATAGAGGAGGCATTGCAGGTTCTAGAGAGAAGTGACTGTTCAAAATGGAGTTTGAGAAGCTGGCCCTTATGTTTGGAGCCTGGAACTGTCAAGAGTCTGAAGGTACAGAGTTAAAATATAGGTAGAGCAGAATAGGCTCCAAGGGTTCAGAATCAAAAGCAGGTAAGGGGAAAGGAAGGGATGACACCAAGAGATGTTCAAAGTGTACAGAATTCACCTGAAAAGGACACAGCCTGCCTCTCGATCCACTCAGAAAACAGAGATTTGGAAGGCAGAGGAGTATATAGAGAATTGGAAATTGGAAATTTGTTTCTTATAATACTTCACATGATACTTCTGTGCACATACAAAATCTGAGCCCAGCTGACTTATGGAAACTATAGAGATGGACCTTCATGGGAAAAAGGATTGTAGGACAAGAACTGACTGATGGTTCAATCAACAATTATTATAAGGTGTGTGTATGACAGTAAGAGATATACTGAATCGTGGACAGAGGCCAGTGTATCCACTAAGATCTATGTCTTGATGGCATAGGATCCAAGTGCGGTGAGAAATTCCTGCCCATCTTCCTGATGAATACTAAATGTACTCAGAATCTGTTCACAATGGAGGATGTTAAGCAGTGGTCCAAAGGCCTCAAAGAAAAACATTCTACCTCTTCTTTCTGTCAATCTTAATGATTTAAGGTAAAAGAGGAGTAAAAGGTAAAAGAGGAGGTAAGTGTCCAAAGGGTATTCTTTGCAAAGGGAGCCCACAAAATATCTTTTAGAGGGAGAATTTGGGAGTGAGGCAGAGGTGAAAATGGAACTTTCTGAGCAATAGTTATTCCACTTCACTGTTAACAACCACCCGATTCAAAGATTTGAGAACCGGGGCACCTGGGTGGCTCAGTGGGTTGAAGCTTCTGCCTTCGGCTCAGGTCATGATCCCAGGGTCCTGGGATCGAGCCCCACATCAGGCTCTCTGCTCGGCGGGGAGCCTGCTTCCTCCTCTCTCTCTCTCTGCCTGCCTCTCTGCCTACTTGTGATCTCTGTCTGTCAAATAAATAAATAAAATCTTTAAAAAAAAAAAAAAAAAAAGATTTGAGAACCACCAGAGAAGTGCAGAAATTCCATAAGGCAGGCAAGGGGAGGGGCAGCCATGGGAAGAGAACAGGGAAGGGATAGGAGGCATATCACAAACTTGTACATAGATCAGGAGTGAGTTTCTAAGAGGGTCTGAATCCCAAGAAAATCACCCTAAGGAGGAAAGGAGGAAGTATGTAATATACTGAGGGCCTCTAAGCCGGAAAGGAATAAGAAATATACGAGCAGCAGTAATAACAAGGAAAGTCACTCCACTTTAGGGGCCCATTGATTCCTACCTTCAGTATATTTCCTTCAATTATCCTTAAAACTATTTAGCTCCTCACCTTCATCAAAAGCCACACACATACACACACACACACACACACACACACACACACACTCTCACACTCACAGTTACATATACAGGTATGTTTGTGCCATGGCTCTCTCTAGGAGCCCCAGGCCACCAGGAATTTGTATTTTTTGCTTCTTCAGGACTTCCCCCAACCCCCAATAAAAAAGAGCAAGAGCATACAAAAGGCATTAAATAGACAAATGACAAGGAATTAAATACAACTATCTTAAAGATTTATTAATGAAAAATACTTTACAAAAACAGTATGTTTGGCCCTAAAATAGTTTAGCTGACTCTGAGGGTTTACAACAGTGACTGAGCAAGTGGCAGTAATGGCTCTGCTGCTGAGGACAGGAAGGTGTGTTAGTGTGCCTGACTCCATCTGTTCAGAAGGACAAGTGTTAATGTTGGCAGCTCTGAATTCTAGGCCTAAGGTTTGGGGGGACAGGGAAGGCCGACATTCCATAATACCTGGCAGGTAGGCTGCCCTGAATGATATGGTCAGTACCATGACCACACAGCTACATGCCCCTCCAAGGATGGGGTATGGGGAAGATAGAAGGTCAGGTAATACGGATAGGTGGATAAAACAAAGAACAGAAGTTGGCAGTATAGTAGGGAAAAGAGGATGAAGGCTCAGGTGCATGTGGGGGCATAAAGGATCCAGGAATAAAATGGTGACCCTAAGATCCTAAGGAATGGCTAGTGTCCAGGGTAATATGGATTCATCTTTAAAGTGGCTCAAATAAAACCCTAAACAGCAGTTGCTTCCTTTTGCTAGGTGAATGGAAATTGGAATTTCAAATATTCCCCTCAAGAAGCCAGGTCTTGTTAGGGGTTCCAGGTATCCCTAGGAGAAACTGCCAACTCTATGTTGAGATGAGACTAGCAGAACCTTGGAGGGATGCAGGGTGCTAACTCCTCCACAGTACAGTCTAACGGAGAAAGCTGTGGCTCCAGGAAAGGACAGAGGTAACCCTTACCATCTATTGTGCTGCAGGGCCCTTGCCCTTACCTGCTCTCTTCCAGGAGCATCCGCTAGAACAAAGAGAAACTCCTCTCCCCCTGTCCTCCTGGGCCCAGACTGCGGGGCATAACTGGTTTGCCTCCAGTCATCATCTGGGGGCATATCTACTCTTCGAGGACCAGGGACTCGAGAACCAGGAACAGGACCCAAATTCCAGGTTGACCTCAGGGGTACATGAAGACTGCTTGATGGTGGAGACACAGGGTAAACAATGGGAGGGTGAGAGGAAGAATGGAAAATATCCCCCCAGGACTGAGCATGAGGAACCTGAAGGCCCTGGCGTCTTTCTGGTAGTGTGGCAGTGTGTGTCAGCTGAGGCTTGCACCCTGGAGTACTCAGGAATCTGGCCCCAATATGCTGGCTGGTGTCTGACCATGGCCCCCAAGAGGCATCTGTTCTGGAACGATGGGGGAGACTCTGGTAGTTCAGAGTTCTTCCTGTGTACTTGACCCCCTGGCAAGTTTCACCCCTGTCACACATAGCCAGAAACTGCTGGACACTCCTCGAAGTTCCTGGGAAGAGAAAAAGAAACCAAAGATAAAGCATCTTCAGTAAACCATTCTCCTTCCCAAAGGACATTCCTGACTATTCCTCTCAACTCCCCGTAGCCATAAGAGCATACACATATGGGAAAGAAGAAGTCTAGCTCTGCTTTTAATTTCATTTTTAAAAATTCTTAGGGGAGCCTGGGTGGGTCAGTTGGTTATGCTTAGGTCATGATCGCAGGGTCCTGGGATCAAGCCCCACATCGGGGCTCCCTCCTCAGTGGGTAACCTGCTTCTCCCTCCCCCTCTGCCTGCTGCTCTGCCTGCTTGTGCTTTCTTGCTTTCTCTGTCTCTCAAATAAATAAATAAAATCTTTAAAAAAAATTCTTAATATACATCAAAATCAAGTCTCTTACCTCCAACCTGGGCAAATGTTGTCATACTTCTACCTCACTCTACTATAATTCTTCCTCCACCCCCCGACGAATGGCTCCCTAATATTACAAATATATAACTCACTGTAACAACTCTACTCTTAGAGCCACCACTCCAAAACATCACTCTGCTTTTTTTTTTTTTTTAAAGATTTTATTTATTTATTTGACAGAGAGAGATCACAAGCAGGCAGAGAGGCAGGCAGAGAGAGAGGAGGAAGCAGGCTCCCCGCTGAGCAGAGAGCCCAATGCGGGGCTCGATCCCAGGACTCTGAGATCATGACCTGAGCCAAAGGCAGCGGCTTAACCCACTGAGCCACCCAGGCGCCCCTCACTCTGCTTTTCTTAATATGTACTTTCACTCCAGTTAATCTGTTTCTGCTCACATTCTTGCTCAGTCCCTGAGATCTCTGTTTTTGTTCACACTACTCCTACCACATACACAGTGTGGAATGCCTTTTCTATACATTAATTCCCCTTTACTTAAATGAAACAAAATACATAATCTTAAAAAGTCACTTCTGTTTTGTTTTTTGTTTTTTTAAAGTAGGCTCCACACCCAGCATGGAACGCAATGCAGGGGTTGAACTCATGACCCGGAGATCAAGACCTGAGCTGAAAACAAGAGTTGGAATGCCCAACTGCCTGAGCCACCCAGGCACCCAACAACAACAACAACAACAAAAATAAATAAATAAAGAGAAAAAAAGAAAAATCACTTATAAAAAATACTTTCGATTCTTTATTTTATAACCTATCAACATCTGCAGTATACTCCTGATTACAGCTCTGAGCTCTTTAAGAACAGAGAGTTGCCTTCTTTCTCCCCTATGTTCACTATAGCATTTAGTCCAGAATAGGGTACACTAAATGTTGCCTAATGGGACAGATGCCCGTAATAATTGCCAAACACGGGGGACTACCTGGCTGCTCCACTAAGTAACAGGAAGTCCATCTATCCAGAAGGTCTGCTTATCCAAACCTCCCTAAAATGTGGACACATATCTATAATACAACTCTTACCTTCGATTCTAGAACCACCACCATACCCTGCCCCAGGGCATTTACCTCTGTAAGCCAGGGTTTCTCAATCTCAACACTACTGATACTTTGAGCTGATACTACTTTTTTGGGAGGGGGCGGTCATGGAGGTAAACTGCCCTGTGCACTGTAGGATGTTAAGCAGCATCCCTGGCTTCCACTCACTGGATGCCAGTAGTACTTTC